AGTTTGGAAGTGCAGGCTGGCACCAAGAAAGTGAAAACAGAGTTCATAGTAATTGACACCCCCTCCCATTACAACACTATCCTGGGAAGACCATGGCTGCATGCAATGAGGGCTGTTCCCTCAACATTACACCAGCTATTACGATTCCCAACAGAGCATGGAATTGAGGAGGTCAGAGGGGATCAACTACAGGCAAAGAATTGCTCTATGGCAGTAATGAAATCCACTTGCAACATACGAGAAGCAGAAACAGCAGAGATTGAAGATGAGGACATGGAAGTCCTGGAGGATGTCGGCAAAGAGCCAGCCGAGAAGAGTGAGGAAGCCCTGAAGAAAATCTTTGTCTAGTAAAGGGATGAAGAACGCTTCTTCCTTCTCGGCTCGGGCTTGGCTGAGGAAGAGGAAAAAGAGTTAAAGGCATTCTTAAGAGCAAACATTGAAGTATTTTCCTGGACACCATACGAGATGCCTGGCATTGACCTCGAGGTCACTTGCCACAGGTTGAACGTTGACAGGTCGGCTAAACTAGTCATCCAGCGAGCAAAGAGGCCGACGTTGATGCATGTTGAGGTAGTCGAAGAGGAAGTGGATAGACTTCTGGAGGCCAGAGCCATTCGAGAGGTAAATTACCCGATATGGTTGTCAAACACTGTGGTTGTGAAGAAAAAGAATGGGAAGTGGAGGGTTTGCGTGGACTTCACCAGCCTGAACAGGGCTTGTCCCAAAGACATTTTTCCACTACCCAAGATTGACCAATTGGTGGATGCCACTTCAGGGCATGAAAGGATGAGCTTCCTGGATGCTTACAGGGGTACCATCAGATAGCTATGTACCCCCTGATGAAGAGAAGACTGCATTTATCACCCCAAAAGGGCTGTATTGCTATAGAGTAATGCCTTTCGGGTTGAAAAATGCAGGAGCAACCTACCAAAGATTGGTGACCAAGATGTTCAGACATTTGATAGGCAGAATAGTAAAGGTATATATAGATGACATGGTCGTGAAGACCAAGGAACCTAAGGATCATCTGCAAGACTTGAAGATGGTTTTTGATATCCTTAGAACATATCAGCTTCGACTCAATGCATCGAAGTGTGCATTTGGAGTTGGGTCTGGTAAGGTCTTAGGATACTTGGTCACCAGAAGGGGCATTGAGGCTAGCCCAGATCAGATCAAGGCCATCTTGGAACTGAAGAGCCCAACATCGGCAAAACAAGTGCAGATGTTGACTGGAAGGGCTACAGGCCTGAACGGATTCATAAGCAAAAGCTTTGACAAATGCAAACCTTTCTTCAACTTAGTGAAGAAAACCATAGACTTCTTATGGACAGAAGAGTGCGAGGCCGCCTTGGTCGACTTAAAGAAGTATTTGACAACAGCCCTAGTTCTCTCAAATCCAGTACTTAGAGAGGAGCTGTTCTTATTCTTGGCAGTTTCAGAACATGCAGTGAATGCAGTAACAATCAGAGAAGAAAAGGGGGAGCAAAAGGTAGTTTACTACGTGAGTAAAACCTTGGCAGATGCAGAGACCAGATACCTGCCTTTGGAGAAGCTAACACTAGCTTTGATAATGGCCTCCAAGAAACTGAATCACTACTTTCAAGCCAACAAGATTGTGGTGTTAACTGAGCATCCTTTGAAATCCCTGTTGTAGTAAGGAGATTTGACAGGAAGGATAGCCAGATGGGTAGTGGTGCTAGGCCAATATGACCTAGAATTCTGACCTAGAACAGCAATCAAAGGCCAAGTTTTGGCCGACTATGTGGCCGAGTTTACACCAGGCGCCATCACACATCGGGCTCCATTGATCCGAGGTATACAAAGCCCAAGTGAACAAAGAGAAACCCAACATAGGATAGCAGGGCAAAGGAAGAAAGAGAAACTCAGGTCCTGCAACATTTACATCAGTGACTCTTTCCGGCTGTTCGTTGATGGGAGCTCAAACCGACAAGAAGCAGGGGCAAGAGTAGTGCTAGTATCTCCAGATGGGCAGATACTGGAGCAATCCATTCGTTTGGGGTTCAAGGCCTCAAACAATGAAGCAGAGTATGAAGTACTGATTGCAAGATTAAAGCTGGCGGTAGCAGTAGAAGCTGACGAGGTAATAGTCTTCTGTGACTCCCAGCTTATAGTCAACCAGACAATAGGCGAATACGCAGCCCGAGATAATAGGATGTCGGCCTATGTAAATGAGGTGAGTAGACTGGTAGCCTTGTTCCAGAATTGCCGACTATAACAAGTAAGCCAAGATGACAACAACCATGTTGATGCTTTAGCCAACCTGACTAGTGCAATGAAACCTGGAAAGACAAGGACAATATTGGTTGAATACTTGTCAGGCCCAAGTATAGAGCCACTAAACACAGAACATGAAGCAATGTGTATGGATATGGGCCCAAGTTGGATGGATGCGATAAGAGTATTCCTTAGAGATGGGAAACTGCCAGATGATCACAAAGAGGCGCACAAGATCAGACAGAAGTCGGCAAGATTCAATCTAACAACAGAGGGGCATCTCTACAGAAGATCTTTCACTGGTCCCCTTTTAAGGCGTGTACATCCTTCACAAGTTGAAGACTTCTTGTATGAGATATATGAAAGAGTATGTAGAAGCCACACTGAGGGCAGATTACTTGCTCATAGGGCTATTACTCAGGGGTACTGGTGGCCCTACATGCAGAAGGATGCTGAAGCCTATGTTAAAAAATGTGAGAAGTGTCAGAGGTTTTCACCATTGATACACCAACCAGCAGTAGATTTGAACCCAATGTCTAGCCCTTAGCCATTTGCCCAATGGGGCATGGATTTGTTGGAAAATTGCCTAAAGCAACTAGACAAAGGAAGTACCTGCTAGTGGCAACAGACTACTTCACCAAGTGGGTAGAAGCTGAACCCCTTGTAAAAATCTGGGATGTTGATGTGAGGAACTTCATATGGAAGAACATCATCACCAGATTTGGGATCCCAAGAGCAATCATAGCAGACAATGGAACGCAGTTTGACAGTAAGCTAATCAAGAGCTTCTATGCAAAGTACAAGATCAAGAATTACTATTTCACTCTAAGCTTCCCTCAAAGCAATGGACAAGCAGAAGCATCCAAAAAAACTATATTGGATGGAATAAAGAAGAGGCTGCAATCAGCAAAGGGAAAATAGGTGGATGAGTTGCCCAGTGTACTCTGGGCATATCGGACTACGCCGAGAAGATCAACTGGAGAATCCCCATTTGCCATGGCTTATGGCACAGAAGCAGTAATCCCATTGGAAGTCGGCATCCCGGGGATCAAAACCCAGGGAGTGGAGAATGGGACTAATGATGCATTCTTAGCCTGAGATCTGGACTTATTAGAGGAAAGAAGGGAGAAAGCAGCAATCCAACTAGGGGCATATCGGCAGCAGCTTACTAAGGCTTAAAACAAAAAGGTCAACCCATGAGAGTTTCAAGTTGGGGACCTCGTTTTGAGAAAGTTCGTTAGCAACAAGAAGGATCCCAGAGATGGCAAGTTTGGCCCAAACTGGGAAGGACTTTATAGAATCATCTCGGTCCTGGGCAATGGGGCATATCGACTTGAGGACAGTGAAGGCAAAAAGTTGCCAAGACCCTAGAATACTTGTAATCTGAAGTTTTTCTATCATTAGATTTTCTTGTTTTTAAATTTTTTTTGTTATTAGCCGAAGTAATAATAAAGTTTTGACTTGATTCCTTTTAAAACTTGTGTAAAATGACTGACCAGTCACTTGGCAATGTTTCTGATTAAAACATGACGAATAACTTAGACTTATTACATGACAGAGTTTCTACTTGCATATAATAGAGTTAAACTAAGTTTGCGATGTTTCTAACTGAAACATGACGAATAATTTGGACTTATTATATGGCAGAGTTTCTACTTGCATATAATAGAGTTGAACTAAGTTTGAGATGTTTCTGATTGAAACATGATGAATAACTTAGACTTATTATATGGCAGAGTTTCTACTTGCATATAATAGAATTGAACTAAGTTTGCGACGTTTCTGATTGAAACATGATGAATAACTTAGACTTGTTATATGGCAGAGTTTCTACTTGCATATAATAGAGTTGAACTAAGTTTGCGATGTTTCTGATTGAAACATGACGAATAACTTAGATTTATTATATGGCAGAGTTCCTACTTGCATATAATAGAGTTGAACTAAGTTGAAATAACTTGGACTTGCCATATCGGCAGAGTCAAACACAAACTGGAACTCAGTACATACCAGTCAGATTAACAAAGAGACCAAGGTTGGTAACCTCGGCGAGTCTTTGTTTGAACCTGACCTCGGCAACAAATTCAAAAGCCACATGCTTAATGAGAACCCAAGTGGAACTTAGGTTCACATTAGGGGGCAGAGAGTTGGAAAATGGTACTTGAAAGTATTCCAAGAATTTACAAAGGAAGATTGGTTTAACACTTGTTGAAATTTTAAGAAAAATTTACAAGTTGAGGTTAAACCGAGGTTATACTGAAAGAAGATTGGTTTAACACTTGTTGAAATATTTTATGAGGAAATTACAAAGCGTTAAATCAAGCTAGGGTTGCTTTGAAAGAAGTATATACATGCTCGCCATGATTACCATGACGTGGAAGATAATAAAAGACAGAGGTCCTAGTAAGTAAAAGTAAAATGGCAAGCTGTAACTAACACTTGTGAAAGTATTAAAAAATATTTTCAAGTGTTAAGTCAAGGCCGAGATAAACAGTCAGAAGATATATCTGAGGTGTTTCACCCCGAGGAGATTGCAGGGTGAAAGTGTATGTTGAAGACATGCAAATTATTCTAAGTATAGAGTCATGTAAAGAAGACAAACATGCAAGAATTTAAAAGAGGAAGTTGTATTTACATTCAAAGTTATTGCACTTCGGCCTACAAAAGGACTACTTGTACGAATTATAAAAAGAAGGCACATCGGCCAGATAAAGAGCTTACATTGTTTCAAAAAGTAAAAAAGTGCTAAGTACAGAAGAAAAACATCAAGGACTAGATTGTTCGGCATCAACATTAGTTTGGGGCTCGGAAGACTTTTGCGAATTCTCCTCGGTAGCCTTCTCAGCCACAAGCTCGACATCGATCTCTTGAAGAGTCTGGTCGATGCTCTTATCGACGATAGGCATGTTGGATGTTGTCTTCTCTGGGCTGGCATCTTTGGAGACCTCATCCTCCTCATCCTGAGTCAAGTCGACTTGCTCAGGATGAGTTAGGGACTTGGCCCCAGCAGCCTCTTCTTTATTCTCGACCTCAGCTTCCTCCTTGGACACAGCCTTGTCCTCGGATTGGCTTGGAGTAGGGGGGGAATGGCAGGACGAGGTCGTCGGCATTTTTGAGGGGGGAGTCCTCGGGGACGTCCAACTTTTTCAGAGCGGCCATCCAACCAAGGGCGAAACCCTTGTTGCATGCCTTATTCACTTGCTTTTTGTAGTCCTCCTTGACATCGGCCATTCCCTCGGCGTATGCCTTCTCATCCGCTGCTTTGATCTCGGCCTCTTTTATGGCCAAGGCAACAATAAGCTCGGCCTGGGCTTCGGCAGTCTTTGCCTCGACCTCGAGGACTTTGGCAATTGCCTCGGCAACACCAGGCCTCTCCTCGGCCTCGTCTTGAGCTTTTTTAGTTACCTTGGCCTGTTCTATGAAATTCTTCATCTCGGCTTTGGCCTTGTTGATGGTCTTCTGCAAACTGGCAGCCTCCTTTGTCTTGCTAACCAACTCCTTCTTCATGTCAAAAGCCTGACACGCGAAGGAGTGGGTGTACTGGATCGCCTGGGAGAAGATGGACAGAACAAAAGTTAGTAAAAGATTTTCTAAGTATGAAAAAACAGAAAAAGAAAAATACCAAGTGAAAGGACTTACTTGCATGGAATGCTGCAACGTTAAAGCAAAGTTTTTGTACTTGCTCACCTCGGTGTTTCGGTTGAGATCTCTGGGAAAGAATAGGGCAGTAGAGAGGGCAACGCCAACTTCGATGTCGTCAGCGCTGTCGCCAGTTTTAACCGGCTTGTCCTCGATGGTGATTGGGAGAGCCTAGGGGGCATCTAATTTCATAGTCCCCGAGGTTATGGCTGACTCGGACCTCGGCCTCTTCGACTGAGTTGATTGGGATGCTTCAGCCTTGGCGGACCGCTTCCCGGCAGCGGGCGGGGTCTTCTCGCTCTTGGCCAATTTTGAAATTGGCAAGGTATCCTCAGTGTCAATTTGAGTCATCATTGCCTTAGGCTGGGCCTTCTTCAGTCTTTTGGGCTTTGGCTTTGGTTGAGACTGGGGTAGAGAAGGTTGTGCGGTATCAACATCTGGGATGTCGGCCAAAAGATCGTCTGCAACTACTTTCTTGCAACCCATCTTAGCGGCGATTGTAGTTCGACGTCGGCGTTTACATTGGGAATGAGGGATAAGTTGTGAAGCTGAGGTTGATGGCTGCTCTACCAGATCAGAGGTTGATCCCTGGTCTAGCCGAGATGATAAAGTTGTTGGTGGAGTTGTGGCGGAAGGAGGAGATTTGCTTTTCTTCCTCGGGACGTTGGGAAAAACGGATTTATAGGTTGGGATGTAGTTGAGCAATAAGGGAGCTTTCCACCTCTGAACAGGCAGATCCAACAGCTTCTTGAAGCCCTTGCTGGGGAAGAAGGACTTACGAAAGTCTTTTGGCAGCTGTAGAAGAACTGCAAGAAAAACAGACGTTAGAACATATAGAAAGAGCAAAGTATTGAAGGCTTAAAAAACAAGAAAAAATAACGCTTGGCTCTTACCATTACCATCTATGAATACTGTTTGGCTAAGAGGGTAGAGGTGAAGGTCCTCATCTGGAGCGAACTCCCAGTTGCCCGAGACAATGATGTAATCGTCCCCGACTCCCTTGTTGAAGTTTGGGAGGTCGGCAATAAGTTTGTATTCTGTGGACCTCGGTTTGAGGTAGTAGACATAGCCCTTTTCTAACTTGAGGCCACACATGGTGTAGCAGTATTGGATGTCGCTAAGGTTACCCTAGTGTTTTCTCAACTAGCTAAGGCTATGATACCATTAATGACTTTGTAAGAGTTAATGGCTAATTGCATTGGGTTGAGTTTATAATAGTGGAGGATTTCTCGGAAAAGGATGTTGAGAGGGAGCCTAAGCCCACACTCTATGAAAGCTACAACTGGGAAGGGCATGGAGCCGACTGTGGACATGATATAGTCATCCTCCCCAGCCAACCAGAGATGGACGTCGGCCGGGATGTCAAACTCCTACTTGAAATACTCTAACTTAGTTGGGGTGTCTACCCTATACCTTCACATACCCATGATGTCGGCTTGAGAGAAGGTGATGGGTTTTAGAAGGAAGTGTTTTGTGAAGGTTTGGAAGACCTCGGCTAAAACCTAGAAGAATACTGGAGCAAGAATTTTTGAGGATCTAAGTGAAGTTTGTTTCAGTTTTTCCTAAATTTTGTGAGTTCTACAAACAAATCCCAAACCGAAGTCTAGGTAGACAAAGATTGAAGGCAAGAATCTAGAAAAAACACAGAAAATAGAAACAAGAATGTGATTCAGAATCAAGAAAAGTGATGACCTATCAAGAGCACTGTGTGTGCAAGGGTGTGATGCCAAGAACAGTGGCAAAAGTGAGCAAGGTGTGTGAGTACGTGTGTATACCCATAAATAGGTAGAACAGAGCATGTTTTAGGCATACAAAGAGGGAAATTCGAAACACAGACATGAATGAGAGCATATGAATATATTCAAACATGACTAACAAGCAGAAGCAACAAAGTATGAAACTGAAATAAAGAGGAAAAAGTAACTCACCGAAGAAAATGAAGCCGGTGTGAGGGTCGCCGGGGTCAACCGATGGCAGCGATCGGAAAGGATCAACAAAAGCTTCGCCGGAAGAAGAATTGAAGTAGTTGCAGAGCTTGAAAGCTTGAAAACAATGGCAGATTTGGGAGAGTAGAGAGAGAGAGGGTTGCCACGAAGTTGAGGATGCAAAAGTGAAACGACGAAGAGAGAGAAAAGGAGTTTTGTCAAAAATACGAAAGGGCGGCAAACCATAATGAATGTGTCCTGGATGATGTGTCTGTCAGATGACGCGCACAGAAGTGACGTGACTTGATGGTGCATGTCAGATACGATTCAATGAGGAAGAGACGCGTGGCAAAAACGGTTGAATTGTTGTGCATAACAACTCATACGCATGACAAAACCCTTGGGGTTCTTGATTTAGTGAAGCAAAGACATCGGCAATGGGGATGATCTCGGATTTAGAACTTAAAGAATTTGGCCCTTAGTTTTGGGAAAAAGAAAAGCAGGCTGTAGTCTGGACACATGGAGCCAACGTAATGTGACTTCGGTAATAAAGAGATAGAGCAAGTTTTTTTGGCCGATGTACTAGTGGGTTCGAATGATATAGGTTCCATCACCTCAGAATGTCAAGGTAATAAAACCTAGGGGGCAGTTGTGGGGACATATTTTGAATAAACAACACGTGGCCGAGAAGGCACCGAAGTGTTAGCTGAGGTGCCACGTGTCTTGGATATGATGCCGAGGTAATCTCGGCTAGGCCGAGGTTATCTGCGAGAATATCGGAATCCGAAACAAGCAGATAAGGGACAAGAGTCCTAGAATAGGAGATGACTTCAGTTCGGATAAAGATAAGACTCTTAGAGAGTTTATCCCAATCCTACTGGGAGTCCAAGGTTGGCATTGATCCAGAGTCCATTGAAGCTAGGCTTCTAATGGGATTAGGTTAGTGTTGGCTATAAAAGAGAGGCACCTTCATGGGTCTAAGGTACGCTTTTTATGTTCTGAATAGTGAGTTAAGCACTTTTGTTATCTTTGAGAGATAACTTACTTGATCGTCAGAGTGCCCCCGGGTGGACGAACTACCGCTGAATTCTTATCTTTCTATGGCAGGTTGTTCGGGCTTAATTTATTCTGCCGGTGTTCTCCTGTTGAGTACTAGTTTGGCAGTGTGGTCAGAAATCAACACACACAAACCCGATGGAAATGGACTGGTACGTTGTGAGTTTAGACTTGGTAAAAAATAAGTAACGATTCTTTCAGTTTGGAGTGGTCGGGGAAGTATTTATACCTAAAAAAACAAAACAAAATGATCTGAAGCAACTGAGAAAACTTGAAGCACACTTATGGAGTCTACTACTTCATAAAATACAAAATGATATTTCCCAGCCTACATCTTGACAACAATATTTTCTTTTGAAACTTACTAAAGGAGGTCATTGGCTCCATTGAATAAATTGCATTTTCTGATAAATACTTTTGTTGTAGTGCATAATTCTTGACCTTCGGAAAATGTACATATGGATCTGATTAAAATAGTTTCTATTTCCTACACTTCATCATTTCCCCAATTTCTAATTTTCCACCTATGAATATTGTTTTGTTTAAATGCTTTATTTGATAAGTTTATAATTTTGGAGGATTTACACCTTTCTATATCATACCTAACTTGTTACTACCTTAGCTGCTTGACCTACATGATCATTCACTTTAAGTGAGTTGGCTAGGCATAGTTTGCATACAGGAATTTATTATATGATGGTATCCTCTTTCCCAATTCCCGATTGTCTTTTGATGCGTTGAGATTTGGAATCTTCAATTGAAGCCCATCAAATACTGGACCTATTGATTGCATCATGTGGGCACTTGTTGAGATCTTTCTAAGAAGTTCAGGAAGGGATGAGAAGGACCATACCATTGTCATTTAAGAAAGTATTGTGGTAAAAATCTCTCTTGTAAATAGAACAAGGTATTCTCGATGAAAATCGAAGATCATGACGAATAAATTAAATTTCATGTAGATTACTAGACAATAAAAAATGCTTCTCTATCAAAATACTGATTCAAATGTCAAGATTTGAACTTGAGAGAGTAAGAAAAATGCATGTCATTCAGTTTTGGAAATTCACAACCACATCACTAGATTCTCGATACATATCACTCAGTACTTCTCATACCGTTACACCAAAACTGTTGTTGATTCGTCTCCCAATACAACGATTAAAACCATGATGAAGATTGTGTCAACCACTAATGGTAGAAAAACACAACTTTATAAAGAATAAACGAAAAATAACTTTTATTTTATAATTATATTGTTTTTATGTTTGGAAATGATATGAAGATTGTACCAATTGCTCTTTTTGACCCTTCTCTTGCTCTTATTTTTAACATTCTTCAAACTGCTAATAATTAGTGGGTTGTTTTTTTATTTTTATTTTGGGTGGATAAGTCATAAATTAAGAACAAAAATTACACATTTACAAGGGCATACCTCAGGTAATACAACAAATCTAACTTCGCCCTAGGGAAGTGCAAAACAAATAAATTTAACCAAAACAAAACACAATTTTGCCCATGTATCTTTTTTTGTTCCCAAGTAACATCATAAATAATAGAGGATACTTGGGGAAGATATATGGGCAAATACCAAAATTCAACTAAAACACTGTCCACAAAAACAATTCAAAAAAAACAAAAACAAAAATAAAAACCCTACATCACCCCACGTGGTAGCTGTGCCTAGTAGATCAGGCCTCTACCCAACCTGGGTGATAGATACAACAAAAGTGAGATTTCTAGATCAGACAATTAGTGGGTATTATTACTGCTTTTATTGAATAATTTTCTCTAGAAAATTCATGATCAGGTGAAATGCTTTGTTCTCAGTTCCAGGTAGGAAGGTAGGACATGATAAAAGTCTGAACACTACAAGAAATGTCACTTTTGGCAACTAAACTATTGGTCGGCAAAAGGCCTAAATTTGGTCGCTGAAACGATTTATCGACCAAATATTCCTGTCACCAAGTTCATCACCTATACCCTGTCGGCCATAGTATTGGCGACTAAAATTCATTTCGTCGCCAAAAAATGAAACATTTCCTTACTAAAATTCTTTTAGTAGGCAAATGGTATCTTTTCACCACTGAAATCATTAGTCGCCGAATGTGACTTTTGCCTACTACGCTCATGTAGTCGGGAAAGGTGTTAGTTTTTGCTACGAAAATATTGGTCACCGAAAGTGAACATTTACCTACGAATCCTTTGTTAGTCGGCAAACATGGGCTTTCCGCTACTAAAATTTTAGTCACTAAAAGTTCTACCGTTAAATTTTGGCCAACTATTAGAGACTAAAAATTTTGGTGACCAATAGAATACATATTTTTAGCCACCATGTCATTAGTTGTGGTAACTTTTGCCGACTAAAACTGTTCGTAGCTAAAAACCTATTCAGATTCATTTGAAAACTTTTTGCCACCAAAAGTTTTAGTCGCCAAATGATACCCTTTTTTCCGTGACTAAAAAATTTAGTGGCCAATAGTTTACTTCTCTCATTCTCAAATTTTTTAGCTACTAATTTGTTGGTCACAAAAACGTTTTGGGTTATGTTTTTGCTACTAAATTATTAGTAGCCAAAACTTTTGATTACCTATTTGGCTACCAAAACATTTGGTGGCCAAATAATTTTTTGTTTTGTTTTTATTTTTTATTTTTTAAAAAAAATTTGTAAACAACCTGTATTCATTATTAGTGCAACCTGTACCTTGTATAAACAATATAATCCATCAACACTAAAATATATTTAAAACCATTAAACCATTCAACAACGTGCACACATTTCAATTCCAAGCATCCAAAAAATTAATCTTCAACGTCCAATTCTATATATAATACAAATTCCATACACTCCAAGTCTAATCCAATGTCAATAATTTAAATCCATACATAATACAGGAATAACCAAATTAATTGACAAAAAGAACATGTGTACCACAACAAAAATTTAATCTGTACTGCCTCAAAACATTTTGTATCACGTGCTATGCTAATTTTTACCACGCCAAATTTAATCGGATATTTACCACACCAAAAGAGTAATTTGTACGAGCCACTATATATACGGATAGAGGTATAAAAACAATGCCCTCCCGTAATTATCAAAAAATTATAGATCCACATTTGTATGTCCAAAACCATCTGCAAAAAAAAAATAAAATTCATTAGTTTGGTGCCTATATAGCAACTATATTAATTTCAAACATTAAAAGCTAAGGAGAGTAATAGCTATTAATTAATGAAAGACATCCAAACATGGAATTCTTGATGAGCATCGATTCTATGAATTAATGCCAAAAGTTGTGTTTATGGCAATTAAAAGGGCGACAGTCAACAAAAGCACTAAACAATTTACCAAAAATATTGTGCCACGTTTAACTAATAAAGAAAGAGTTAAACAAACTATAGTATTACCAAAATAAGGTGTCCTATTTACGTACCAAAAATATTGT